GAAGAACTTTGCCTACTTGGTGTTCAAAGCTTTTGCTGTGTTTTTAAATTGTGTCGTTCCAGCGGTGGGCCTGTGCTAGACAGACCCAACACCTTTACTGTCTGTTACCCTGTGGTCATCCTGCTAGTTAGTCACTGCTATTCCTGTGACATTTGTTAAATGCTGTAGATGTTTTGTTCTTTGGACTTTTGTTTCAATGCAAATATAATGTATTCTCTTGTCCTCCATTTCTGACATTATAATTATTGCCAAGGTTCTTAAAGTTAAATAAAAAAAACTAAAAGTAGGTGTGAACAATCATTCTCATTAACTGAAATAAAAATTAAAAAGAGTTTAAAAAACGGAGAAACTAAAAAACCTGGGAACTAACTAAACGGATATTGTCTATCCATTTTTTGGCCATAAATCTTATACCACTGGTATAAAATCTTCACTTCCTCTTAAATGGAGGCACATTTTTAAGGAAAATGTCGGTAGAGCAGCAAAGTTGGTTATGTGGGTTGCACCCATGAAAAACTTCAAGATCTTTTATTTGTGACGTACATGGTTATACAAGTATAACACGCAGTAAGATGTGACCTGATACGCTCCTCGACTGTGCATAAAAGAGAGAGAAAACATTACGTACAGTAAGTAAGTAGATATACAAAGAGGACATTATGTGCAATAAGTGAGTGAATTATGTACATTAGGTTAAATAGAACAAAACAATCTGGAAGAAATGTACATTATGTAAGTGGGGTTAAAGTGACTTGTGCCGCAGTGACATCAGAAGGATCTGATATGAGAATATGTGAGTCCTGTTTCAGTCAGTTATGGTTGATGGGGGGGGGGGATGACGACTGCAGGCCGGCCATTCCCTCCATTCACAAACTCTGGAGGTCTCTGACAAACCCTACCCTGAGGGGTTGGGCGTTGCCATCTTTGACGATAGAGTTGGTTCCCAGACTGTGGATATATGGGGTGGGCACTGGTAGTAGACTCTCACCTCATCATCTCTCTGCACTGAGACTTCTTCACCAGCCCAACGCAGCGCTTGAAAGGATATTTTGTACTCATAAAACAAACAAACAAAAAAACATGGATGTCGTTAGTTTTAGTTTGGGTGTCAAATTAGTGATCTCAAGCTGCCAGATGAAGCTTTGCATCACACTCTTATTGAGCACTGACATGTTTACATGACTGTAAGTTAAAGACCTCCAGAAAGTAAATAGTAAATATGTAGAAATAGAAAATAATCAGAAATACAAAACTGTAATAATCCTGCTTCTTGATGTAGATAATAATTTAACGCTGACATATAAAATCTGTTAACCTTAAAGCTACGTGTACATTGCTAAAAAACAACAACAACAACAAAACCTTTTTTATTTAGAGTATAACATGAAGTCAGTTAAACCTCTGGGGCCTTGGTCTGGTCAGGTAAGTAACAGAGGAGATTTCAGCATCACTGGTGTTAATGAAATGACACCAGGTGCATCAGAGGGGTAACAATGAGGCAGCTACTCTAGGAGAGCTGCACAGGACAGTAGAACATCCTCGAGCCATCAGCAGCCCTGCATTACTCCTACAAAATAACCTCCAGCAGGCCACTGGTGTGAATGTCTCTGACCAACAATCAGAAAAACAGTGGCCTCGTGACGTCGTTCAGCATGACCAGTTTGGTGACGGGTCAGTGATGATCTGGGGATGCACAGACCTCTATAGGCCTGGCAACTGCAAGGCTTGGACCCACTGTCAGACTCTACGCTGGTGCAGTGGGTTCCTGCCAGTACACAACAATGCCCGGCCTCATGTTTTGACAGTGTTGGGAAGGTTACTTTTAAAATGTATTCCATTACAGATTACAGATTACATGCCCCAAAATGTATTCTGTAACGTATTCCGTTACGTTACTCA